AAAACTCATCAGTGATCTTATCTATCTGTACAAATTCATGAAGGTTGACACGGTAAATGTCTTAGACTAGTTTTATTTTTAAAGAAGAGAAGGTAAGTACCTTTCATTCACTATATTGTGGTGGTAATTTTACATACAATTAAGAGGACAAAACATTGAAATACGATTTAGATTGTTTGGATTTGTACCATACCGACACGCTTAGCCTAATTTTTAACGTGCCAACACTTAGAAGCAACGTTTTATGGAAAAATTCAGCACTGTAAAGGGTCAAAACTACAAATTATCAGAATGTATTGACTTCTTAGAATAAGCATTACTATTTTACTCATATATGAATATAATTTTGAAGTAATAGTTCACAATACCAAAAATCCGTTATTATTAGTTATTGTTTCCTTGATATATGTATCCATGTTACCTATTGCTTTCATTACTGTAGCCATTTACCGCAAGAAAGTAGCCACTTACCGCAAGAAAGTAGTCATATACCGCCATGGTAGTGAGCTACATATTTGCAGTAGTAGGCTACATACCTGCGGTAATAAGCTACATATTTGCGGTAAATGGCAACTTTTTTGCGGTAAACGGCTACTGTTCATGCGGTAAATGCCTACATCTTGCGGTAGATGACTACATTTTTTGCGGTAAATGGTTACATTTTGCGGTGAAATGACTACTTTAACGCGGTAACAAGGCTACTTGTAGCCGTGTACCGCACCTCAGTAGCCATTTACCTCCGGGGTAGTAGACTACATACTTGCGGCAATAGGCTACATACTTGCGGTAAACGGCTACATACTTGCGGTAAACGGCTACATACTTGCGGTAAATGGCAACTTTTTTGCGGTAAACGGCTACTGTTTATGCGGTAAATGCCTACATCTTGCGGTAAATGACTACATTTTTTGCGGTAAATAGTTACATTTTGCGGTAAATGACTACTTGAACGCGGTAAGAAGGCTACTTGTAGCCGTTTACCGCACCTCAGTAGCCATTTACCGCGAATCAGGTAGCCATTTACCGCAAGAAAGTAGCCATTAACCGCAAGAAAGTAGCCAATTACCGCAAGAAAGTAGCCAAATACCGCAAATAATGTAACCATTTACCTCAGTCTACAGGACATGATCTTAAATAAATCTTCTTGTTTTTCAGATGTCTGACTCTGGAGATCTGTTTGAGGATGAGGATCTTCCACCAACGCCTCCTCCTCCAAACTCTCGGGGAAAATTGAACTGTGTGCTGTTTGCAAGGGCAAGACGGATTGCAAGACAGATTGAATCAATAGAAGAATACGACAGCGAAAGTGGGGATTCGGAATACGAATGCGAAAGTGAGAATTCTGAATACGACAGACCTACTCAATCTGAACACGACATACTTACGCAACGCCAAGTGATAACTCTGTCAACAGGAGAAGAAAGTGAAGAAGAGAATTCTGAATACGACAGACCTACGCAACGCCAAGTGATAATTGTGTCCCCCGGACAAGAAAGAGAAGAAGAGATTGAAGCTTATAGAAGAAAATTGGTACCGGAAAAAAAGAAAACTAAAATAATTAGAAAACCTACACAACGCCAAGTGATAACTGCGTCATCAAAACAAGAAAGTGAAGAAGAAATTGAGGCTAAAAGCAGAAAATTGGTACCGGAAAAAAAGAAAATAGACACTAAAAACATTAGAAAACCTTTGAAACGAAATGTGATAACTGCGTCATCAGAACAAGAAAGTGAAGAAGAGGGTGAGGCTAAAAGCAGAAAATTGGTACCGGAAAAAAAGAAAATAGACACTAAAAACATTAGAAAACCTACGAAACGAAAACAGATAACTGCGTCATCAGAAGAAGAAAGTGAAGAAGAGAGTAAGGCTAAAAGCAGAAAATTGGTACCGGAAAAAAAGAAAATAGACACTAAAAACATTAGAAAACCTACGAAACGAAAAGTGATAACTGCGTCATCAGAACAAGAAAGTGAAGAAGAGAGTGAGGCTAAAAGCAGAAAATTGATACCGGAAAAAAAGAAAATAAACACTAAAATCATTAGAAAACCTACGCAACGCCAAATGAAAACCCTAACCGTTTCATCGGTACAAAACAAGCCAAAGAAGAGGAGAATTCGCAAGCTGAAAAAATGCGAAATATGTGGTAAAAGTCAATTGAACATATGGAGACACAAGCAACTTATGCACAGCGTTATGCACAGCGATGGTAAAGCAAGCACAAGCAAGAAAAAAATGAAAAAGAAAACATCAAAGAAGGGATATATTATCAGAGTGTGTCCGTTCACAAATTGTGTCGCCGTAAGAGAAAGAATGCGTGACCATCTGGTCAGGACACACAAAATGAAGACGAATTCTAGAAGATTGCAATACATGATGAATAAGGCGAGACCTGTCATGGAAAAAATAGACAGTGCAGAGGAGATCACTCCTGAGGTAGTGATAAGTGACTCAGAATCAGAACCTGATAACAATGTTCACATGAAAAAGATAAAGGTGGAAGGTAGTACTGGACAATCGGTGAAGAATGAAAAAATAGAGTTGACACCACAAAAGAATGATAAAGAAAAAAAGAAGAGAAAAATAATAGAGATAAGTGACTCAGAATCAGAACCTGATTTCAATGTTCAGATGAAAAAGATTAATGTGGAAGGTAATTCTGGACCAAGGGTGAAGAAAGAAAAAATAGAGTTGACACCACAAAAGAATGATAAAGAAAAAAAGAAGATAAAAATGATAAAGATAAGTGACTCAGAATCAGAACCTGATTACAATGTTCACATGAAAAAGATTAAAGTGGAAGGTAGTCCTGGACCAAGGGTGAAGAGAGAACCCACATTAACACCTGAAGGGATTCCATTGAAACCACTAAAGAAAGAAATAGAAAAGAAAAAGAATGAGGTTATAGTAATTGTTAGTGAAACAGAATCAGAACTTCTTGACAATGTTCAGCTGGAACAAAATAATGAGGCAGAAGATCCAATAATAGAGGAAGTCAGAACAGATTGTGATGAAGATTCTGATATCGAGGAAAAAATAAAGAAAAGTGTAAGATTATATAACGAAAAACAAATGCATATCGATGAGTACAAGACAAACAATGAAATGAAGCATTTTGTTAATTGGTTACAAGCTGTCCCAAGCCTAAAGTCATACAGGACTTCAATGCAGCATGCCAAACAGGCATATATGTATTGGGTACATGCCAGCCCAAAATTGAATATCCCAGCACTCTTGGAACCAACCTGCTTGAATGGTTGGATGTCAGTTCATCTTAACACTAAATCTGCCGGGACCCTAAGGTCCTATTTGAGTTCAGTGAGACATTTCATTGATTATCTAACATCGAATGACAGGATCAAGGAACAGGACTTCCAAAGAGCTGCGCGCTTTAAGGAACATATAAACACTACCAGCAAAAGCTTATCAAAGAGGGTCAAAATCAGAAGAACTGTAATAGAAACAGAAGAAATCGGTGAGTACATATATTTTTCTATAAAAAAGTAGTTAAATTTTATCTACACACATTTGTGTCACATACACACAAACAAACACACACGCACACAGACACACAAACAGACACACACAGACACACACAGACATACACACTCATACACATACACACGCACACACACATACATACACACATACACACAAACATACACACACATATATATATATACACACACAAACATACACACACATACACACAGACACGCACACATACACATACACATACACACATTTGCCCATACACAAACACTCACACACACATACATACACACATACACACAAACATGCACACACATATACACACACCACACACACATATACACGCATACACATACACATACACACACATACACACACACAAACACAAACATACACACACATATACACACAAACATGCACACACATATACACACACCACACACACATATACACGCATACACATACACATACACACGCATACACACACACAAACACAAACATACACACACATATACACACCCCAACACAAACATACACACACATACACGCAGACACACACACATATACATACACACACATTTACCCATACACAAACAGTCATACACACATACATATACACACATGGTTTTGTTCGTTTGTGTGTTTACATGTGTGCTTGTGTCACACATACGCACAAATAAACATGTTTCTGTGTTTGTGTGTGTATGTGTCTGTTTGTGTCACACATACACAGAAGAACACATATGCATGTATGTGTTTGTTTGTGTGTGTGTATGTATTTGCGTTAGTATATTTGCATGAATGTTTATGTATGAGTTCTGTATGCTTTTCCTCTGTTTCAGAAACGATGCTCCTACCAGTCGATTTTCAGAACTTCATGAAAAGTGACATTTCAAAAGATTGTGAACAAGCCCTAACTTCTAGACCAGTAATGGAAGTTTATCCCTCCATGTTCTATAACTTACGAGACTACTTAATTCTGAGAATAATGCAAGCTAATGCACAACGCCCGATGGCTGTCAGGGGTATTTCTGAGAACTCAATTAGAACAGCAAAGAGAACTCCGGATGGAGGAGCTGTAATCCTTGTAAGTAAAACTAAATATAACTATAGAAAAGATATGTATGCATTTCTAAAAAAAACATCACTAATTGATGTATTCACCTCTGAAAATTATAACATATGCACAGTAATTGTCAACTTAAACCCTGTTTCGATAAAAAAAAAATCACCATTTCCGCAACGGTAAAATGTCCACATTAATGCGGTAAAAGGTTACTAAGTAGCCAAATACCGCAAGCGAGTATCCATATACCGCCGTGCTAGTAGGCTACATACTTGTGGTAGTAGGCTACATACTTGCGGTAGTAGGCTACATACTTGCGGTAGTAGGCTACATATTTACGGTAAATGGCGACTTTCTTGCGGTAAACGGCTACTGTTTAAGCGGTAAATGCCTACATCTTGCGGTAGATGACTACAATTTTGCGGTAAATGGTTACATTTTGCGG